CAAGACTGCTGTCACCCCCTTGAGGTCTCTTATATGAAAATAAGCATTTCTGTTCAAGCTGTAGACCTTGATGGAGCTAGATGTCAACCTCAAGGAGAAAACTGTGGGCCCACGATTTTGGTTGCTCCTCAAAATAATCATTCTGTGGCTCCTATTGAATAAGGCAATCCACTCAAGACTGAGCAAGACTGGGGAGAAATAGTCCTTGGGTTAGAAAATTTTTGATATGTTAACTCTGTCCTCATTCTTAACTTCCCCCTAGTGCTGATTTACTTATGGTCTATCTTCACTATCTACTAAGGTTCTCGTATTCAAACCGAGATTGGAGAATAGGTCATTAGGATAAATATTTTATATTTTCTCTGATATTCTTGTCATTTTTGAACTGGCTCTTGCTTGATTGTAAGTGGCTGGTGGAAAACGAGCATTAAAAATTAAATTTTGTACAGCACTAGTTTTATGTGAAACAGGATTTTTATAGCACTCAGGTCAGCAGATACATGTCTCCACCTCTCACTCCCCCCATAATAAAGAGACCTCTTTAAATAAATTTCTTTTTTAATAAATTTATTTTTGGCTGAGTTGGGTCTTTGTTGCTGTGCACGGGCTTTCTCTAGTTGCTGTGAGCGGGGGCTACTCTTCGTTGCGGTGTGAGGGCTTCTCATTGCGGTGGCTTTTCTTGTGGAGCACGGGCTCTAGGCACGTGGGCTTCAGTAGTTGTGGCTTTTGGGCTTCAGTAGTTGCGGCACACGGGCTCAGTAGTTGTGGCTCATGGGCTCTAGAGCACAGGCTCAGTAGTTGTGGCGCACGGGCTTAGTTGCTCCACGGCATGTGGGATCTTCCCAGACCAGGGCTCGAACCCATGTCCCCTTCATTGGCAGGTGGATTCTTAACCACTGCATCACCAGGGAAGCCCTAAATTTACTTTTCAAGTGTTGATTTTGTGCCTCATCCCTTTATTTGCCCCTTCATGGGATGGAGTGTCACTACCCAGCATCTAACACAGTCTTTTCTATGTAGTAAGTGCTTTGTAAACATTTTTTCAGCATTTTATTGTCTTTTATATTTACCGCCTTCAGATTATTTGTCTTTGTAACTTAGTCTGAGGTGTAAGAGATTCATTTCTGTCACTATGGATACCTTTCATTACCATGAATTTTTCAAATGCACATACTCATACCACAGAGTTGTATATTCGAACACATTGGATAAGGATGTGTCTTTTGGGTGTGGCCCAACTGTGATCCTAAGTTCTGTGTATAGTCTGATTTCCTCAATCAAAGCAACCAATACAGCACAGCAAAGAGGACGGGTGAGAATCGGGGTGATCCGTCAGGCGGTACCATTCTATTTTATTTATATATATTTGTTTACAAAATATACTTTATTTTTTAAATTATAGATTAACAAAAAATTGAAAAGGTAGCACAAAGAATTCCCATATGCCCCCCACCCAGTTTCCCCCATGCCCCTCTTTTACATGAATGTAATACAAACTATGCATTATTATATTTCTCTTTTCTTATTGTGCCTACATGTGCCTATTCCTACTGTGCCCCAATAATCATTGTAGATAGAGAAATAGATATTTAATATTATAAATTGGGGAGTGGAAATCTGTAGTATTGCCCTAGTAACACCATCTTAACTTCGCTTGAGGTCAAGAAAGCCTTTGAGTGACATAACCCATGGAAAGCTGAAAGCTGACCAGCCTCTGGTGGAATTTGACCTTCTGGGGAGGACTACCAGGTGGGTAAATGGTGGTGTCTCTGCCATGAAACCAACGCTAAATCTGGAACTTTTTCTAAGGGTCAAGGATAGCGGGACATGGTGGAAAGAGTTGCTTAATGTCAAATGTTTAAACCTCTGGTCTTTGAAGTAAAGGGTTGTGCTAAATAATCTTTAATGTTTCCTCTTAGCCATAGTAACATATGAGGCAGAGATTTAAAAAAAAAAAAAAAGTGCCTAATATGAAAGAAAAACCAGGTTTTGTGCCTCTTCTTACTGTTAAAAGTACAAGTAGATATTTCATTGATATCAGGCTGAATCTATTCATGTGGGCATTTAAAATATGAATATAGGGGCTTCCCTGGTGGCGCAGTGGTTGAGAGTCAGCCTGCTGATGCAGGGGACACGGGTTCGTGCCCTGGTCTGGGAGGATCCCACATGCCGCGGAGCGGCTGGGCCCGTGAGCCATGGCCGCTGAGCCTGAGCGTCCGGAGCCTGTGCTCCGCAACGGGAGAGGCCACAACAGTGAGAGGCCGGCATACCGCAAAAAAAAAAAAA